AGAAAGTTACAAGACATTTCAGAATTAAAGCCCTGAAATGTTTTCATTTAATCTGTAAAAGGAAACTGATGGAATCCTGTCCATGTAAAATATACCATTCACACCTTCTTTTATGGGGCAGCACAAGTGGCCAGATTTCAGAATCTCCATCATACTTAAGAGTTACTTGTTGAGCAGGGGAGGCAGGTTTGTATAATTTTTGGTGGTGCCCAGAATGGGTCCAAGTCCTTCCTGCCCCCCCCCCACACCTGCCTAAGGCTATGGGAGAGAGTTTGGGTGTGGAAGAGGTGTGGGCTCTGGGAGGGAGTTTGGGTGCAGAAGAGGTGAGGACTCTAGGAGAGAGTTTGGGTGCGGGCTCTGGGCTGGGGCAGGGGGTTGGGGTGTAGGAGGGGGTGCAGGCTCTGGGAGGGACTTTGGGAGAGGGAGGGAGTTTGGGTGTAGGAGGGGGTGCGGGGTTCAGGCTCTGGGAGGGACTTTGGGTGTGAAAGGGGTCAAAGGTCGGGCTCTGGGAGGGAGTTTAATGCTGGAGGGGGCTCTGGGCTGGGGCAGGTGGTTGGGGTGCAGGATGGGGTGTGGAGAGCAGGCTCTGGGAGGGCGTTTGGGTGCAGGGTGCAGGCTCTGGGCTGGGGCAGGGGTTTGGGGTTCGGGAGGGGGTGAGGGTTGCGGTGCTTACCGTGGGTGGCGTGGCTCCCAAAGCTACCCAAGGGGTCTCCACGCTCGCTGCTGCCCACAGGCGCTGTCCCCTTGGATCTCATTGGCCACAGCTCCCGGCCAATGGGAGCTGCGGAGTTAGCAATCGGGGTGGGGGCAGCACGTGGACACCCACACACCCACACCCACCCACCAGGGGTCACAGGGACGTGCCGTACCAGCCACTTCCGGGAGTGGCATGGAGTAAGAGTGGGCAGGAAGTCGCCTTAGGCCCGCCGCACTGCCGGTGGTAGCGGCCGGGGCCCCCGGGACATTTTAAATCGCCTGGGGGTGTTCTCCGAGAGACACTCCGGGGGAGGCGCGCGGGGCGGCAGGCAGGGCTGGGGAGAGATCTGGCCCCATAACTACAGCAGAGCTCCCAGAGCCACTATATTATTCTATAGATTATAAATAGGAAATGTTGGAGTCATTCTTTTACCTTTTCTAATGTCTAATCTCCTCAAGTCAAGTGGCCACTCTTGTCATTTGAGCCTGCACTCAAAAACACAACAATGTAAAACTCCAGAGCCTACAATTCCACTCAGTTCTACTTCTTGTTCAGCCAATTGCTAAGACTTGTTTACATTTACAGGATATAATATTGCCCTCTTCTTATTTACAGTGTCATCAGAAAGTGAGAACAGGCATTTGCATGGCACTTTTGTAGCCGGCATTGTAAGGTGTTTACGTGCCAGATATGCTAAACATTTGTATGCCCCTTCATGCTTTGACCACCATTCCAGAAGACATGCCTCCATGCTGATGACGCTCGTTAAAAAAAATGCGTTAATTAAATTTGTGACTGAACGACTTGGGGGAGAATTGTATATCCCCTGCTCTATTTTACCTGCATTCTGCCATATATTTCGTATTATAGCAGTCTCGGATGATGACCCAGCACATTTTGTTCATTTTAAGAACACTTTCACTGCAGATTTCACAAAACGCAAAGAAGGTACCAATATGAGATTTCTAAAGATAGCTACAGCACTCAACCCAAGGTTTAAGAATCTAAAGTGCCTTCCAAAATCTGAGAAGGATAAGGTGTGCAGCATGCTTTCAGAAGTCCTAAAAGAGTAACATTCCGATGCAGAAACTACAGAACCCGAAACACCAAAAAAGAAAAATCAACCTTCTGCTGGTGGCATCTGACTCAAGATAATGAAAATGAACATGTGTTGGTCCGCACTGCTTTGGATTGTTATCGAGCAGAACCCGTCATCAGTATGGACACATGTTCCCTGGAATGGTGTTCGAAGCATGAAGGGACATGTGAATCTTTAGTGCATCTGGCACGTAAATATCTTGCGACACCGGCTACAACAATGCCCTGAGAACACCTGTTCTCACTTTCAGGTGACATTGTAAACAAGAAGCGGGCAGCATTATCTCCTGCAAATGTAAACAAACCTGTTTGTCTGAGCGATTGGCTGAACAAGAGGTAGGACTGAGTGGACTTGTAAGCTCTAAAATTTTACACTGTTTTATTTTTGAATGCAGTTTTTTTGTTCATAATTCTACATTTGTAAGTTCAACTTCCATGATAAAGAGATTGCACTACAGTACTTGCATTAGGTGAATTGAAAAATACTATTTCTTTTGGTTTTTTTACAGTGCAAATACTTGTAATCAAAAATAAATATAAAGTGAGTACTGTACACTTCGTATTCCCTGTTGTAATTAAACTCAATATATTTGAAAATGTAGAAAACATCCACAAATATTTAAATAAATGGTATTCTATTATTGTTTAACAGTGCAATTAATTTTTTTAATCGCTTGACAGCTGTACTTTCCATATTACAATGTCATAAAATCATTTATGATTAAGAAGTGGTACAGACAGAACCCCAGTTCATCACACCATTTTAATCAACTTTATAGATTTTAAGAAAGTGTTCATTAGTGTCTACAGAGAGACCCTGTGGAATATTGCTAGAAGCTATGGGACACCAGACAAGCTGATCAATATAATAAAGAGTATATGTGATGGAAGTAGATGCATAGTAAGATCAGATACAGGCCTGGGTGAGTGGTTTGATATTGTGACTGGAGTTAGACAAGAGTGTTTGTTATCAACAGTCCTCTTGGCGTTAACAATAGACTAGGTGATCAAGTGATCATTGTGGACAGTGTCAAATGGGTTAGCAGGGATGAGTTACACAGCCTCGACTTTGCCGACAGTATTGTTTTACTAAGTATGACATGGAACGACATATGGCCCTTACATCAGAGGTAGAACAGGAAGCAGCAAAAATTGGATTGAAAGTAAAAGCTGAGAAAAAACAAGTTTATGAAGGTCGGAAACTAGACCACAGATGGAAAGGTGTACATGGCTGGAAGAGAAATCGAACAGATAGAAGAATTCTGCTATCTGGGGAGTGTGATGACATTTGAAGGTGTCTGCAATAAAGATATTCATATGAGATTAGGAAAAGCAAACACCACTTTGGAAGGATGGACAACATCTAGTCAAACAAAGGTCTCTACACCAAGCTAAAAATCAGACTATACCATGAGATTGTACTGAGCAAGCTGCTGTACAGAACAGAGACTAGTCAAATTTTCCCATAAGTATTTCTGTGCTTTCTTGAATGCCCCCCCCCATATGCGTGGGGAAAGCGTTCCATAAAAATCCAGAAAGCCACTACATTATTCTCCTTCAAATCCTTCTGAAAAACTCAGCTATGCTGGGATGACTACAAAATATTTGATAATGGCTAGGCAGTTGCCACCTATATTAACTGTCTCACTGTTATCTTGTTCTCTCTCCATCTATCTGTTGTATGTTTTGTTTGTCCCTCATCATATATTTAAACTGCAAGATTTTGGGGCAGGGACCTGTCCGTTGTTTGTTTACAGTGCCTAGCACAAAGGGGCCATAAATCCTGATTGATGCTTCTATATACTACCCCAATACAAATATATAATAATGAAATGATCAGCAGTGAAATAAATATCAGTACTTACAATTACATTGTAGTCTTTAGATTGACTAGTAATTAATTTATATCACAGCCAGGTTTTTTGCAATGGATGACAAATTGTTTTTACACAGCGCATGGATGTAAAATATACATCAGTGCTGAACCACAGTTAGCAACAGGGATCTTGGGACTACTAGAACATAAATTTAAGCATATGCAGGATTGGGGCCTATATTTAGCTTTTTCAAAATATGTACAGTTCTCTTTTCCGTTCCTTGAAGGTCATTATTACAAATCAAGAACAGAAATTCAAAGGAATTATCTTATTCAAAATGTTTGACTGCCATTTTCCTTGGCTAATTTGGGGACCAGTCCAACTTCCATTGATTTCAGTGGGAGACTTTTCTTTTGACTCTAATTTGAATTGAATTGGGCCAACAGAGTGCATCACAAGAATGTTACGGTGATAAAGGAAATAGCATTTTTGTCCTTTTTTTCCTGGTTCTTTAATTTATAAAGAGAGTCCTAAAGTTCAACTGACAGTTAAAGCCCTAGTGTACGCTGGGCCTAATTTCTATTAGGTGCAGTAAGAAAATACACACAGTGATGAGCATAGTATATATACCTAATCAGCTTAAAATAAATAGTTTATTTGAAATAGTTTATATTTGTAATTGCTGAAAAGTACTAAGCAAATCTGTATCATGATGAAATTTCAGTCTGGCTTACTTTCTGTTGTAATACAGAGTAAATGAAAAAGCAGGTTAATAATTGGTTCGGTGACTAATTGATTTTGTTTCTGACTGTAGTATATTGCAATGTCTTTCAACTACTTTCCAATTATATTTCACAGTACAGTTTACTGTAGTTTTTGCTAGTGTAGCTGTGAATAAAATATTATGTAAAAAAAGAACATTTTTTTTCCAGTAAGTATACTGGTTTTTCAGGGGATGTATTTTTTCTGTTTTGTTAAAAGAATAAACAGACTAAATTCTCTGCTGGCAGAACTCCATATTTAAAATAAACAATGAGGGGTTAAAAATAAGGATATAATGAATTTATCTTTTAAAATTGTACAAAAATGAAAAGAAACAATAGTTGAAAAATCAAGGTTAATATGATGGAAATGAATGAGGATTAATGTGCACACAAGAGAGTCTACTGTAGTATTTTCCTTTGAACAGTCCATAATAAAAGCAGCAACATGCACACATTTTAAAAATATGGTTTCTCTTTCTAGAGGTGCACCATATAAGCTGCATGTTGTCTTCTGATTAAGAAACTATTCAGCTCCACAGAGTTGGTGTTTGTGTTACCTAAATCATTATGCAGGCTGCTTGAAAAATGAGAGCAAGCTACAATGTGAACTGGTCAAAAACTCACCCGGTAAGCACGACCCTGTTGTTTGAGGCTGTAGCAAATGGGTTTCTTGATCGCAGGCAGAAACATTTTGCTGGTATTGGAACCTTTTTCAGAATAAGTTCAGCAAAACCTCCGATATCTCATTTCTCTATTAAGAATAAACAATAGCAGAGCTTAGAAAAAGAACGCTGACTCCACTGCACCACTCTTGTTAGTGTTACTGAACTCTGTATATACATGTGACTTCCCCCCACACATACACAGACATGTATAATCCTTTAAGCTTTAGCTGCATGCTCTGATTGGCTGAGAGGTCTATTACAAAAACAACCCCTCCAGCGTGATATCTCTAAGTGATTAAGTCAGGAGGGTTAAGGGGCATTAATCATGGGGTCTGATCGCTATTCTGAGGCCTATTCTGTGTAACAGTGTGCACAATTATGTACACTTTGGGGGCGGCGGGGGGGTTTAAAAGCACATATTAAAAAAGCATTATGCTGGTTTGAGAACTGTTAGACCTATAATACAGTTACATAACATAAAGCAAATACTAAATGGATCCAGGGTATAACTAAGGTTAGGGGTGAAAATAAGAGCCATTCTACTTTAGGGCAGTCTTTAAAACATGCTTACAGTGGTTTATACTACTGTAATATGGCACGTTCTAGGAACATGTTCAGTCATTCAACAAGAATATGTCATGATTTTAATAATAAGATATCACTAAGGAAGACTATATCAATTGCTCATTCAGTGTTATAAACATTTTTTATTTTAAACTAATGAGATTTTAAGTATCTAAATTAGTTGCATTTGAATAAAGAGTGTATTGTACATTGATTCCAGTTATTTAGCTTGGATTCAGATGACCCTGAAATAATTTGCCTGTACTTCAGACCATAATGAGCAATTTAATTTATGTAGGTTCTCCTTCCTCCCCCAAGCAATAATCAGCAATGTGTAACACAACTTTTTATTAACAGAAGAAGGGAGTGATCCTCCTCCCATTGAAGTCAATGGGAAATTTGTCATTAATGTCAGTGGGAGTAAGATTGAGCCCAAAATGTATTTTTTCAGCTCCTGAAACCATTAGTTGCTTATTTTTATTCTTAAATTATCTTGTAAGATAAATCTTCACAATACAAAAGACATTTAAATCAACCTAGAGTGAACAACTGAAAAGCAGAACCGTATATTGTTTAGCAGTATTTACAGGTAAACCACAATTGCCTAATTAAATAATGTTGTGGCTTATTGAGGAGATTAGACATTAGAAAAGGTAAAAGAATGACTCCAATATTTCCTATTTATAATCTATAGAATAATATAGTGGCTCTGGGAGCTCTGCTGTAGTTATGTCTGTCAGCAGTTCCATTGTATGCTCTATTGTTAGTTGGCTGTTAAGTTGTTAGATAAGATGCACATTTTCCCCCTCCGAGTTGTATTTATATGGAGTAAGAAAGGTTCGGCAGCTCTGGATGATGATTTTTCTATTGTTAAAATGGCTTGTACAATTTTATATTTATATATTAATTACACTTTTGGCAGTTAGCCCATTATGTGGATAGGATTTTATTTATTTTGTATTTTGAAACACACAAAAATTTGATTTGTTGTGATTTACAGTTGAGAAAACACCCATGATGGATGTCGAGATTATAAAATGTAATGTGAAATATGCTTTACTGGTGAATTCATAAACCTCAATAAATGGGTTTTGTGGAGACAACAAATGTAAGGGTTGAGGGATGAAATGGTTCTCCCCGTTCCATCCGTTAGCCAGACCACAAGGCTCCCTTGCATGTTTTATTCTACAGCTGGAATAGTGGCCACAGCTTGTGTTATAGGGGTCTCTGCACCCTGTGCCTCAGTTAAGGCAGGATCCCGTGTCCCATGCCCCAGTAGTTCTCACTTTAGCCTGTTCGGAGCTCCTCTGAGGCTGCTTTGCACACTAAGGGCATGGCTACACTTGCAGATGTAGAGCGCTTTGAGTTAAACCCGCCTTCGTAGAGCGTAGTAGGGAAAGCACTGCAGTCTGTCCACACTGACAGCTTCAAGCGCACTGGCGTGGCCACATTTGCAGCACTTGCAGTGGCATTGGGAGAGGTGCATTATGGGCAGCTATCCTAGCATGCAAGTGACTGCAACGTGCTTGTCAAATGGGGGGCGGGTTGGAGTGTGACTGGGAGTGTTGTGTGTATGTGGGGGGAGAGAGAGTGGGTTTTTGGGGTGCTGAGAGTGTGTCAGCATGCTGTCTTGTAAGTTCAGACCCCCTTTCCCCCTCACGCCTCTCTCTCACTCACTCAAAGCAAACAGTAAATGCTTGCTTTTTCTCAGAGCTGATAACAGCTGGCTTCACCGAAACGGAGCTTTGAAAGGGCATTTCCGCATTCCTGCAGCTGATTTCACAACAATGACAAGAGTGGCCACTTGACTTAAGGGGATTATGGGACGTTTCTGGAGGCTGATCACAGCGCAGTAACGCAACACCTAGTTCACACTGGCACCACGGCACTCCAGCGGGTCGCAGCAAACATAATTCCACTCGCCGAGGTGGAGTACCAGCAGTGCTGTAGCTGCGGAGTCAGAGCGCTCTACGTGCCTTGCCAGCGTGGACAGGGAGTGAGCGAGGGCACCCAGGGCTGCTTTATTGCACTGTAACTCGCAAGTGTAGCCAAGGCCTAAGGGTGCATCTACACTTCAACAAAAAACCCTGGCAGAGCGTCTCAGAGCCCAGGTCAAGTGACTCAGGCTTGTGCTCCGGGGCTAAAAATAGCAGTGTAGGTGTTCCCGCTCAGGCTCTGAAACCAAGCAACAGGGGAGAGTCTCAGAGACAGAGCTCCAACCTGAACAGGAATGTCCACACTGCTATTTTTAGCCCCGTTGCACCCTCAAGTCTGTTGACCCATGCTCTGAGACTTGCTGTTAACAGGGGCTTCTTTTGTCCTGTAGACGTACCCCTCAGAGCCCAGGTCTGCAGACTTGGATTCGTACTACAGAGTTTAAAATAGCAATGTAGACATCCCCACCACCGCTTGCTGAGTTTCAGAGCCCAAGCTCCAGCCCACGGGGGAAAGTCTTTACTGCTATTTAGTCCCATAGCATGAACCCGAGTCTGTAGACCCGGGCTCTGACTCACTGTCACAGGGTTTTTTTTGCAGGGTAAATGTACCCTAACATACCCCTGCTCCCCACCCCCATCTCCACCAAGCAGAAGCATTACAGGGCTTGAGTGGTTCTTAGAGCTTTGTGGATCCTCATCAGCATAAATTTCAACTTTAATTTCTAGGAATACTATCTGTCAAATGTACAATTTTGTTGATGTTAGCTTGAGTAATATACAGTATGAGATATAACAATGTCATTGGTATAGTCCCCTTTGACGATTCCATAAAGCTGTTGCATGTTTCTCGTTAGAAGTAATGTGGATATCATAAAAGTCTTATTTGATTAGAGCAGAACCTTGACTACTAAGAGCATTGAAATGGCTCAAATGAAGCTGAACTCATTGAATGGTTCAAATTAAGTCTCTTCTGGAGTATCAGCAGACCTGATACAGTCAGTGGAAAAGTCAGGTGTGTATTCTGTATACAAATGTTAAATAATAAAAACAGTCTTGTATGGACTTTGGTTTTGTTCATGCAAGTATGATAAATAAACATTAGGTTTTTAAGGAATGTTTAATAATATATATAATACAATAGCCTATATCTGCTGAGTTAGGTTAAAAATGACTAAATCAGTTGAATTCATCAGCAGACTAAAGAAAAAATAGGGCTTAGTTGTTTAATATTTTTGTGGTGGCTGCAATATAACTTTATATTTACTCAAGTGCATGTGTTGAAATACATTACATTTTCATTTACTTGTGTAACATTAGTAAATTAGTGGATATACAATAGTGTCATTGCTATATGGTATAACGTGTACAAACATCAATGGGAGTTATTGACACATATGGAAAGCTGAATGGAGGTACTTCTCAATAGTGGTCATGCTCTTAGTTAATATTTATCTAATTTTTCCAGTATAATATCTTTCAGTATAATTGTTTAAGTGTAAGAGAAATAATAAATATAATAATAATATTTGGATCTATTGAGGTCTGGTTAATTAATTTGTATTAGGTGTGTGAGTATTCAAAATATTAATTAGTATCCAGTCATAAAAATATTCATTTAGTGAATTTGGTAATTAATGTAAGAAAAATTGAAATTGAGATTGCAGACTGGCTCTCATGAATGAGACTAATTTGCAAGTTTTAGATTGTGAGGTCTTAAGAGCAGGAACTGTTTTCCTATATGTTTATAACCTAGTATATTTGAGGGGTTTTGTTCATTTTTCCAGTTACCAAACAATTAAAATTGTTATAAAACTCAAAAAAAAAACCCCCCACCAAAATACCTCAATATGTTGCTACTTTGACTATCCAAATATTTGAAGCCATTAGAGTCTACACTTCTACTATAGAAACCCAGCCAGTTTCCCTGTTGATAACAGGACTGAGGGGTCTCACACTGAGCCAGCTAACTTGGGAAGCTGGCTAGCAAACTTCTGAACCTTCCTGACACACTTGAGGGACATGACCATGTATTTAGATAACAGGAGTGAGGAGGATGGATAATTGAGGTTCTATTAGAAAAGTCTGTGCTATACACAAATATTTTGCTCTTTGCCAACAATGGACAAAATCCTGCTATTCTCATTCATGCAAAATTCACACTCATGGGTAGTTTTCATGAGTAAGGGGAGTAGGATTTGCCCCAACATAAAAACCTTGAGTAAGTAACAGCCCCCCTTCCCATCCATTGTTCCACGCCCGCCCCAGCTCCAAAAAAAAAGGGGGGGGGGTAATCAAACATAAAACCCCATTCTATTTAGAGTTGTTAAATCAGTTTGCTTGGTAATTGAAATATTTTCGTGCCTATCTCTGATATGAAGAGGTGTTGCATGATTCTGCAATAATAAGACCCAGTCCAGTTCTCTTTGAAATCAGTGGAAATACTCTCATTGATTTCCCTGAGAGTTGCATCAGGCCCAAAATGAAGTGCTATACTCTTAACTTTTGAAGCAGGAAGCTTCTTCTAAAAGTTTTTAACTGGAAAAACAATTTAGGATGCTCACACTAGGACACTCTAACATGGAAAA